TGGCGTGCTGATGAGAAGTTACTGACCAAATGATTTTGATCAAATTTGGACACCCTGTATAAATCCCCTTTTCAAATTAGGTTGCATTTATAAATATAAAATGTTATTTCATTCAATATGGTCGTTAGTTGTTGTTTTTAATGAATGAATTTTTCAGTTATGCACAATTTTCCTTACTTCCACATCCAATTTTAATATTTTTATGTACATCACGTTGGTGTGGTCGTTATTAAAATGTAGTACACGTATACAGGGGTCGTTGGCAAAAGAACGTAAACAAAAATAAACAGAAACGTTTAATTTTTGTCGCAGCGAATAAAACAAAAACATACCGTATCGGAATATAAAAAAATAAGTTGTGCATAATCGCTTAATCGCAAGTTTACAAACTGGCAAAACTACCAATGATACAATGGTCAGTGCATCTTTGATATGCCTTAACATTTTCTTGTTACTTATGGTAAGAAACAATTTGCATTTTTTAATTAAATCATTTTTATACGAACTCGACTTCGTTGTAGGTCCTAGTTGACCATAGTCTAACGTGCAAGTCTTTGAAGAAAAAACTTCTCATAAAAGATCTCGGAATTCTAGAAATGTTGGAAGATGAAGTCAAATTACAAATAGAAAAGCTAAATCTAAAGACAGCTAAGGTCAAAGATGTTGATCCACCACCTTCTTGCAACCTGCCTCCAATACAAATAGTGTATCCTCCACCTTCTTATTATGCTCCTCCACCTCCCCCACCATCTGCTCAACCACCCCCTCCACCGTCCTATTGCCCCCTTCCGCCACCAGCAACGTGTTCTCCTCCTCCCATTTACTCTCCTCCTCTATTACCTACTTGTCCCGCTTTTCCTCCAATATATTCTTCGTACTATTGATGTAGAGGTAATTTAGAATGACATGAACCTTAAAATTGGATTACGCAGAGACAAAACTCTACCCCTTTTAAAATGTTAGCCGTCAGTTCTTACAGTTCTGGATTTCCACCTCTGGTTAGATAGAGAAACACACGGTGAGAATCAATAGAACATGGGAGCTAATGTTTTCCATACGTACAATATATGATGGCCCATTTCATTCTGAACTACCTATAACTATTAACAATTTTTTATATTAAAATTAATTTTGTTAGCCATTTTACTCGTTTAACTTAATTTTTTATGTATTTTTTGAAATAAATTATGTTTCTCGTTGCAAATTCGTTTTTATTCGGAAGAAACCTTTGTAGATATTTATTAAAAAAGCAATCGCACTTTCGCTGCATCAAGTACAAACGGTTTGATACTTAGATATTAACTGCAATCGTATATAAAGTTATAATTTCCAAAAGCATGTTCAGTTTCAGAGCAAAAAATGGATTTAACAAAAGAAGTTGAATTGTGGCGTCAACTTGCAAATAATTTACTTACTATCATCGGTTTAAACAAGTTGAAAGGAAAAGAAGGATTTAAACTATTTTTCTATTTTATCTATCAAGTTTACACTATCGTATATATGTATCTAATTGTAGTTGCAGAGATATTTTACACTTTTAGAGGCAAAAATAGTGTAGAGTCCATGGCTTCTGATATATCTCAGCTCTGTAAGTCTAGAAATGAAATTAGAACAATAACAGAAGAAGCAAATGATTTTTATTACAGTCGGAAGTATGGGTCTTGTCTATACACAATGTATAATTTTAATTAAACGTAATCAAATAGAGAATTTAATGGAAAAGATAAAAGAAAATTGCACTCGAAAGAGAGACTCTAATACAGCTAAACTTTTGTACAAAATTCGATGTGGTATTAAAATCTTTTTGGGATTTCAAATTTGTTTTGTATCTGCATATTCTTGGAAAAATATGCCTTTCTTCAAATGGTAATAAAACACGTTACTTCGTCTTGATATGCTTATATGATTAAGTATCTTTTCTTTCTCATGATAAGGATTCTTTTACTTCTTGTTCTTTAAGGGTGTTATCGTTTTATTCAGTCGGAGTTTCCAATGTTATGGTGTTTGTTGTATATTTGTCATCGGTCGTGTTACCATTTGCTGTCATGTACTCTTCCATGTTTCTAATTTTTACATTTACTTTTGCCGCTTCAGAACTCGAAGAATTATGTAAGTATAAAATTGTCCCTGTTAGGCTAAAAATTGCTCCCTTTTGTTACTCACAAATTTTGTTTTCAACCAAGTTTTAAATGATTACCTTTTAAAAATAACTACAAAAATTCTTTACAGTGGAGTAAAAATAGTGAAAAATGCTGGTATTAAAATTGAACAGGTTCCAATAACGGAATATAATATAAATATTCAGGCTAACTAATCATCATTAATAAATAATCATTTGGCACTTAGTTTAAAAGAAAATTTTAGGGCGATTTTTTCAGTTACTCCTTTGTTTGACCGTTTGACCATCACAGTTAATCTTTTCAAACGAAAACAAAACACATGAATATCGTGATAGACGCGAACATAATGGAGTTCGGAAGCCATTTTGATTAATTTTGACGTAAATAGGTAATCAAAAATATACATATATACCTAATATAATCAAAACGGTATTAATTGGAGGCACTTATCGAAATATGTATGTCTGTAATATTGTTTACATAGTTAGAAAACTGCGTAGTACAGGAAAAATTGTTCAAATGACTTTATCCATTTTGTAATATAAATAATAAAGTCTAATCGTCGGAGAACAAACAAAATAACTTTTACTAAATTTCATATCCACAACGTGCATCATCTTGTCTTGAAAGAAAGTACTAACATGTGGTGTGACGAACATGAAAATCATACTGAAGAGGTACCATTTTTGCCTTTTCATGGAACTTTAGATCAGATCAGTGTTAAGGGTTCTGACATCAAAAGATAAACAATGAATTATATTCTTACAATATCTCTTTCTTCAAGAATACTCTTGTAGTTTCTTTTAGCCAAAAATTTTAACAATTGCGTTTTTGAAACACTAACGGAACATGGAGTTCCTAAACTAAAAGTAATGAAATTTGCAAAAACATTCATAAATCATTACGATCTAATCGATGGTATCAGGTAATTGTTAATAGAGATAAAAAGAATGAAGTACTAGTGAAATACTAATTTGTATTATTAGTTTTAAAATGGATGAAACATTTGAAGAGCTTACCAAAATCATAAAAAAAAAGAAATTCGAAAAAGAATTAATAAACACCCTAAGAAGGCACATAAAAAATCATCAAGACTTATTAGAAATCATCAAAGACGTACAGAAAATAGTTAAACCTCTCAATGGATTTTATGTTTACAATTCATTCATAACAATCACTTGGTATGCCGCAAAGTCCATGANGGTTAAGTTATTCTCTTTCCTATATATTTAGATACTAGAAAGAACTTAATTACCTTCTTAAATTACCTTTAAAGATTTTCTTACGAAAAGATATAACGATGGTAGTTGTAATTAACTTTTGGTTATAAAAAGATGTTCTGTTAATGAAACATACCTCTTTAAATACATAATATAGAAGTGTTATACTATGTCAACAAAATTATTTATTTTACATGTATACCTTTCCAAATGCAAATGATTTAGATTCACTTACTGATAAAACTTGATAAATATTGACTGACTTTAAAGGAACTAATTTACAACACTTTCAAGGTGTTACAAATACACTGGTGGTTTAAGGGCTATAATTTCAAAGCAATTAGGATAAAAATGAAGGAATTTTATGGAAACAATGTATAAATAATCATAATGTAGTATATTTCGTAATTAGCTGTTCATTTGACATAATCATCATGTATAATCGAATAATTATTCGCTTTTAACGCAAGTTTTATATACTTTTTTAATTCGCCAAGCACCCAGTTTCGATAAAATCAATAACAATCATTTTTCTTCCTTTAAATAGACAGCAACTTCCCATCACATACTGGGTGTAGTAATTGTCAGTACATTAAATCTTTCCTTTCGTTACAAAGTCCAGTAATTCTTTTATGTGAGCAGTTTTGATCCACAAGCAAAATGAAAAAAAAAATTAAAAATGAAAAAAATCACGATCAGAGCAATTTAAATGGCACGCCAAGGTCTCCCAAAAATAAAAAATTGCTTGCCTTGGATCAAAATCACCTTCCATCGTGTTGTATCGTTAGAACAATTTTTAAACTCCCTCAAAACGTTTTGATTCGTACCCTAAACGCGCCGTGCCTTTACATATTATCAAAACGACGATTCCCAACCCTCAACTTTTAATAAAACACGCCACAATAACTAAATAATATAATTGTTAAATAGCATTCAATTTTTAATAAAGATAAAACATAAATAAATACAACAATTTCTAGTGCGTTGCTCGTTGCGTTATCGAATAATATAATTATATTTATAATAATAATAAGACGATGGCCGTGAACGTACCGTAGTCGCAAATTAATAAAAATTAAGAAAAAAAGATAATGATCATCTACGTGTCTTCAGCTGCGTTTCCGTGTGTAATGAAAGAAAAGATTTTGTGCGCGTGTTGTCCTACGCGAAATGCGTAGCGCGCATTAGCAGCAACTGGCAACGCCCCATATGCACTAACATTCCTGTTGCGTTTTCCCGACGACTGGTCCCCCTGCCGCGGTGGTTCTGAACCCAGGAGGACTAGATATTTGTGTGCCTAATTCGGCGCTACCCGCGAGCCAATTCAGGTTTTGTTGGACGCTGTTGGTCAAGTGGGAGAAGTTGCTGAAGGCGCTCGAGGCTGCGGCCTGTAACTGTTGCTGTTGTGGGCTGTTAGCGAAATTCGCATAGTCGAACGAACGCATTGGGCCCCCGCCCAGACCGCTTTGTAGGTGTTGGGGCTGTTGTAACTGACTGGTATACTGATCCCGCATATGCATGTTGGCCAACGGAAAGTGACGACTTGACGAAACAATCGCTGGATCCAACACTTTCCAATCGTTACAATTACCTAAACCTGGAAATAAACGGATGAAATGGTAAAAACAAGACGAAGCGGCGAAACACAATACCAACAGTATTCTAGAGCAATGGGGAAACTCACCTTTCTGTTGTTGTGCTGGATTGTAACTAGCAGGCCAGTTGTTTTGCGTTGTGGTACCGTTAATTGGTTGGTGTTGGCTACTATTCATATTTAAATATGGTAAAATTTTACTACCTGCAACAGAAAGAAAAAGCGTATTGCTCAACTGAAACCAAAAACAAAAATGGATTTTCTCTTGCAGACTTACCGAACGAGTTCATGTGATTTGTTGGCTGTACAAAACCAGGTGGCGGCGGCGGAACATGAGCACTGCCACCATTTTGACTATGCACTAACCCGTTAATTTGACTGGAAGGTACACTCGAACGATCTGTTACGAAAATATGTAACGTAAGCTAATTGCGCAATTATTAAATAGAAAATGTATCTTACTTATTGTTCCGTGCATTTTTCCATTTTGTTCATTCTCTATAAGTTCGGCTAAGGCCTTTTGCGTTTCGTGGAACGGATCAAAGTCCAGCTCGTCTTCCGCCGATCTGTTGCTGCTATTATTCTGTTGTTTCCCACCTCCACCCCCGCTGCCAGCACCAATTTGGTGATGCTGATTGCTACTGTTGTGGTGACTATTATGTTGTGGTGGTTGTTGTTGATTGTGATGATGGTATAGATTCATCGAACCAAATACGCCTCCACTATTTGTCACCGCGGTTGTAGATCCTCCCAACACGTCCCCGCTTAGAAAAGGGGCTGATGGAGGTGGCGCTAAACCGTTATGTTGCTGCAACAACTGTTGCCCGTACGATTGTTGCTGTTGCTTAAGTGTAAGGAGCTGTTCCTCAATCTGTTTCTGCTGCATGACGAGAAAATTGTGGCGATCGGCCAGACTGTGGAGAAAACCGTTGTGGCCGTGGTGGCTGTTGCTTGTATGGGGATGCGGGCCGTTCTGGGGGCCGACGAAACCATTTGAATTTGCCGAAGGAGACGATGAAGAGGAAAGGCCATTAGGCAGAAGGCCATTTTGACTATTTTTTGTGCAGAAATCTGTGAAAAACTTCGACATCTGCTGATCGAGGCCGTTAATACCGTTCAGGCCGTTTGGAGGAGCGAAATGTGGGTGCTGGTGCTGTTGAACAGAATGGTGGGAATTGAGATGAGGAAGAGGGTGACCAGCACCACCCAGGCGGTCTTCTGTTTTTGAGTACGAATTACTGGAGATAGACATAAACATTGTATGTATACTCTATCAAATTGTAATATAAACTTAATAATCTCACCTAAAGAAATGATTTTTGTTATTCAAAACATCGAGGATGCTTTCATGCAATTTTATGTCAACAAAATTATTTATTTTACATGTATACCTTTCCAAATGCAAATGATTTAGATTCACTTACTGATAAAACTTGATAAATATTGACTGACTTTAAAGGAACTAATTTACAACACTTTCAAGGTGTTACAAATACACTGGTGGTTTAAGGGCTATAATTTCAAAGCAATTAGGATAAAAATGAAGGAATTTTATGGAAACAATGTATAAATAATCATAATGTAGTATATTTCGTAATTAGCTGTTCATTTGACATAATCATCATGTATAATCGAATAATTATTCGCTTTTAACGCAAGTTTTATATACTTTTTTAATTCGCCAAGCACCCAGTTTCGATAAAATCAATAACAATCATTTTTCTTCCTTTAAATAGACAGCAACTTCCCATCACATACTGGGTGTAGTAATTGTCAGTACATTAAATCTTTCCTTTCGTTACAAAGTCCAGTAATTCTTTTATGTGAGCAGTTTTGATCCACAAGCAAAATGAAAAAAAAAATTAAAAATGAAAAAAATCACGATCAGAGCAATTTAAATGGCACGCCAAGGTCTCCCAAAAATAAAAAATTGCTTGCCTTGGATCAAAATCACCTTCCATCGTGTTGTATCGTTAGAACAATTTTTAAACTCCCTCAAAACGTTTTGATTCGTACCCTAAACGCGCCGTGCCTTTACATATTATCAAAACGACGATTCCCAACCCTCAACTTTTAATAAAACACGCCACAATAACTAAATAATATAATTGTTAAATAGCATTCAATTTTTAATAAAGATAAAACATAAATAAATACAACAATTTCTAGTGCGTTGCTCGTTGCGTTATCGAATAATATAATTATATTTATAATAATAATAAGACGATGGCCGTGAACGTACCGTAGTCGCAAATTAATAAAAATTAAGAAAAAAAGATAATGATCATCTACGTGTCTTCAGCTGCGTTTCCGTGTGTAATGAAAGAAAAGATTTTGTGCGCGTGTTGTCCTACGCGAAATGCGTAGCGCGCATTAGCAGCAACTGGCAACGCCCCATATGCACTAACATTCCTGTTGCGTTTTCCCGACGACTGGTCCCCCTGCCGCGGTGGTTCTGAACCCAGGAGGACTAGATATTTGTGTGCCTAATTCGGCGCTACCCGCGAGCCAATTCAGGTTTTGTTGGACGCTGTTGGTCAAGTGGGAGAAGTTGCTGAAGGCGCTCGAGGCTGCGGCCTGTAACTGTTGCTGTTGTGGGCTGTTAGCGAAATTCGCATAGTCGAACGAACGCATTGGGCCCCCGCCCAGACCGCTTTGTAGGTGTTGGGGCTGTTGTAACTGACTGGTATACTGATCCCGCATATGCATGTTGGCCAACGGAAAGTGACGACTTGACGAAACAATCGCTGGATCCAACACTTTCCAATCGTTACAATTACCTAAACCTGGAAATAAACGGATGAAATGGTAAAAACAAGACGAAGCGGCGAAACACAATACCAACAGTATTCTAGAGCAATGGGGAAACTCACCTTTCTGTTGTTGTGCTGGATTGTAACTAGCAGGCCAGTTGTTTTGCGTTGTGGTACCGTTAATTGGTTGGTGTTGGCTACTATTCATATTTAAATATGGTAAAATTTTACTACCTGCAACAGAAAGAAAAAGCGTATTGCTCAACTGAAACCAAAAACAAAAATGGATTTTCTCTTGCAGACTTACCGAACGAGTTCATGTGATTTGTTGGCTGTACAAAACCAGGTGGCGGCGGCGGAACATGAGCACTGCCACCATTTTGACTATGCACTAACCCGTTAATTTGACTGGAAGGTACACTCGAACGATCTGTTACGAAAATATGTAACGTAAGCTAATTGCGCAATTATTAAATAGAAAATGTATCTTACTTATTGTTCCGTGCATTTTTCCATTTTGTTCATTCTCTATAAGTTCGGCTAAGGCCTTTTGCGTTTCGTGGAACGGATCAAAGTCCAGCTCGTCTTCCGCCGATCTGTTGCTGCTATTATTCTGTTGTTTCCCACCTCCACCCCCGCTGCCAGCACCAATTTGGTGATGCTGATTGCTACTGTTGTGGTGACTATTATGTTGTGGTGGTTGTTGTTGATTGTGATGATGGTATAGATTCATCGAACCAAATACGCCTCCACTATTTGTCACCGCGGTTGTAGATCCTCCCAACACGTCCCCGCTTAGAAAAGGGGCTGATGGAGGTGGCGCTAAACCGTTATGTTGCTGCAACAACTGTTGCCCGTACGATTGTTGCTGTTGCTTAAGTGTAAGGAGCTGTTCCTCAATCTGTTTCTGCTGCATGACGAGAAAATTGTGGCGATCGGCCAGACTGTGGAGAAAACCGTTGTGGCCGTGGTGGCTGTTGCTTGTATGGGGATGCGGGCCGTTCTGGGGGCCGACGAAACCATTTGAATTTGCCGAAGGAGACGATGAAGAGGAAAGGCCATTAGGCAGAAGGCCATTTTGACTATTTTTTGTGCAGAAATCTGTGAAAAACTTCGACATCTGCTGATCGAGGCCGTTAATACCGTTCAGGCCGTTTGGAGGAGCGAAATGTGGGTGCTGGTGCTGTTGAACAGAATGGTGGGAATTGAGATGAGGAAGAGGGTGACCAGCACCACCCAGGCGGTCTTCTGTTTTTGAGTACGAATTACTGGAGATAGACATAAACATTGTATGTATACTCTATCAAATTGTAATATAAACTTAATAATCTCACCTAAAGAAATGATTTTTGTTATTCAAAACATCGAGGATGCTTTCATGCAATTTCGTCGTGTCGAATGAATTCTGCAACAATGTGGAGGCGGCTGCAGCCGAATCGTGACCCCCAAACAGTGTTTGCGGCTGTTGATGTCCCAGGAAACTAATGTAACCGTTACTACCATTCCCAAAAGGACCGCTAAGCATCTCCTTTCGTCTTTTCTCCTCGTTTTCATTCACGTTGTTATTCTTCGAGAATCCAAAAGCCGCCTCCCAATCCTCGCTACTGTCAATGTTCGGCAACGAATCGTTGAGAATGTGAGACGTAGACGAATTCACCACAGAAGACGGTGGTATTCTGCCTGCCGACTCCAATAAGTTACGACTGTTATTGTGAGATAAAAGGCCGTTACTCTCATCTTCGTCTTCGACATCCTGATCTACCGGAACGACGCCGCCCAGACTTCCGGTGCCGCTACTGCTGTGGTCGCTTTCAGCCGGTGACAACTTTTGAAACACATTCTGGGAGAAGAAACTCGAATTCTCGTTTACTATTTGTAATTTAGCCGCCACCCCTATCGATTCCGACGTCGTGTGACTTTTTTCGCTCGAACTACTGCTGTTACTACTATCCCGACCCACGCTTGCCTCGCGACTGCTGTTGTTAGTTTTGTCGGCACCTGTATAAGACCATATTCAGTACTTCCAAAACAAAAAATTGAATATACGATACAACTTTACCTTTAATTTTATTTTCGTCCCCCCGTCCGCTGTGTCTATCTCTCTCCTGTGATCTACTCTTTCCAGGACCCCGCCCTTGCCTGTCGTTCTGCCCTTGGCACCCCCCCGACTCACACCCCTTCCCTCTATCTTTCCTGCTACTGTCATTGTTATTATTTTTCGATTTGCCCCGGCTTTTCTGTCCTTTTTCCTTTCCGCTGTTACTAATACTATTTGTCGCACTCTCGCCTTGTTTGTCTCCCCTTTTATCAGACGTTTTTGCCCCTTTACTCGTGCTACTGTCGCCCGGTTGCGGATTATTTAAATGAGGCCACCCCTCTTTATTATTACTGTTGTTGTTGTTGTTATTATGGTTATTCATCGAAGACGAAGTCGAGTGGTCTTTACTCTTCGCAGGCTTGCCACTGCCTGTGTCTCCTTGCTGTTGGCTCCCTTGAACAACTATCTTCGCCAGCAATGCTTCGTGCAACTTCTTTTCATACTCTTGATGCTTACCAGCGTGCATCTGCTCTTTGGTGAAACTGGCCTCTGGGTCCCCTTTTCATTTCAATAAAGTAAAATGAATTTTTTTGGAAATCATATCATAAAGAGAGAAAAAGAAAAGGAACGAATTCTGAGGAAATCAAATAAAGAGAACAAAAAAGAAACAGATAAAGCTCAAGAAGAGTAAATGAAACCTACTTACCAAAGTCGTGCAGATACATGCAATCTGGTTTAGGACACGACTGATTTTTCATAAAATGGGAACAATATTTGGTGGTGCCAAGACTGGATTTAACCAAGCGGCCGTCTATCGTGATGTTGTTAACACTCTGAATGGCCCGTAACGCGTCATCACTCTTTATATACGTTACGTAAGCGCCTGAAAAGAAAAAGTTACCGATTTCAAAAATCAATTGGTTATTTCTAACTTACTTGCACTGGGTCCCTGAGAGCCTGCATAAGACGTGGATTGATTAATGACCACCTTGTGAATTTTGCCAAATTTACCAAAATACTCGTGCCTCTTAAGGATTTCGGGATCGGCCAATCTCATGGGTAAACCCACCACAAATACCAAATTCTTTTGCACCACTCGAACACTAAGTACCACAAAAACAGTGAAAATTATTATAAACAAAATCTCCAAATCCAGTAAGTCACAAACGAAAAAAATATGTACAATTTTTGGACTCAGGAAACGTTAAAAAAAAGAAAAACAAAAGTGAGTATTTGTGAGTATGAAAAACTCTTTTAATATAATAAAGTTAATAAACTCACTTGGCCAGATGCTTACGACTTTCACTAAGTTTGGCTTTGCGCTGTTGATCTCTTTGGCGCTTTTCCGCTTTTAATTGGGCCACCTGTTCCTTTGATAGGGGCGTAAAGTCTGCTGGATTTTCGGAATATGCCTTACGACAAGCTGGGCAAAGACCATTCTCATCTGTTCGAATCCTGTGCCAACAGAAACGGCAAATCTGCGAAATATAACACACTTTTATCCCCCACATTACACCAAAAAATACACAACACCTTCCTGTATTTTTTGTATTCATTACAACTAGGCAACTAAAAGATCTTCCTTGAAAACCCCCAAGTTGTAGCAACATAAGCGAAGAGATTTTAATTGTTTGTTTACAGTTAGTTAATGACATTATCTGATTATTCTATCTACTTTCACTTCATTCATAAAAACAGAAAATAAATTCACATTAAGGTAATTGAATCATTTCAATATTGATTTTTTTAAAGCTGTTATTTATATAAAAAAGACCAACCATACAGTGTAGTATGTAGGATCTGTCACAAATTGATTTCATTGATCATTTTCAAGGACATTACAATCTATTGTTCGATAAAACTTTCTTTTCACTAGGTATAGGTACTGATCTAAAATCATATTTCTCTAAAATAAAGTAGTAAATGTTTTATAATTTTTTGTATATAATGAAAAGATCAAGTTAGTTAGACATTGCCTTATTTGATAATTATTAAAAAATAAAGTATAAGAGCTTGTTCCTCAAGGTTCTTATGAGCAAGATTAGAAATAAATAGGTATTTCAACCTTGTAAACATTATTGACACTAACAATATTTCCAATGTAAATACTGAATGAGTGGCAAAAGATTAAACAAAAATTACCATCCATAATAGAAAATCTAAACTACTGACCTGATAACCACAGGTACAAGGAAAAAAGTTCAGGTCATCAACTTCTAGTGGTTCCATGCAAAGTGGGCATTCCACTTGCTCTTCACCGCTTTGATTCAAAACTGACATAATGAACAGTTATTTCGTACAATACTGCTTTTCTTCACCTGTAAAAGAAGCACATATGTTCACTAATATTTCTCAAATGTAACACATTAAATTTGTTTACAGTTGTTGAAATGAATATGATATAAATTCAGAAACAGACCACAATGGCAAAATGAAAATGAAACAAGTGATTCACCTAGAGGTGCTGATGTGTAAGCAATTAGCCTGAATAATAGAACTATGTTATCTCACATAAAAACACCAAACACTGGCTTTTCTTTCACGAATTTTGTCACAAAAATAATTTATCCAAATGTCACGGAATATGGAACAGCTGTCAAAAACCAGCTAGACAGGAAACTTTCGTTTGGGGCACTTTTTGTTCAGAAACCGTTAATTAAATTCACTGTAATTTAATTTTTAAAAATTGAGTTGCCCAACACCGTATTTTTATAATAAAATTAATTGACGACCAACTAAAGAGGGCGATTCTTTTTCACGGAAATTTTAGAAAATTTTAATTTTATGCAATACTCTGACGGACGTTACTCATAAACTGTTTGGGATAGAAGCTGAGGCACTTCATCTTCCAGAAACTTACGCGTAAAAAGCTGTGAGCTGGGGATTTAATTAGATCCTTAACGCCTTACGAAGTACACTTCAAAATTTTATAAAATAAGGTATTTACTTACTAAATTTTCTGATAGCAAGATTTCAATATGGCGACTTGATTAGATTGTTGACGCAGGCGCATTCCAAAAATAATTTCAATCGGATTCATAAAAAAGATACATTCACATTTGTTAGTTACTGCTAGGTTTCTTTTTTATTTTATGACTTTTTCAAACAAGTTTTCTATTATTTATTAAAACCATTACTGATTTTTCCGAAACATAAACATGAGATTGCTAAGGATTTTAAAATTTCTAGCCGTAATTTCTAAATTGCGCAGGAGTACTATTGCATTTTATTTCTAATCGTTTTTGTATGTACAATTAAGTAGCAAATTGATAAAATAATTCAATGCTGTTATTATTTGAAAACTGGATGATTTGTAGGTATTTAAAAAGTTATTTTCATGAGAAAAAGTGTTTTCCAAGTTTATAGTTAATTATTTGAGGTGTATTATTTGCTGTATGTTGGGTTGTCTACACCATATATTATAAATTGCAATTTAATTTATAATAAACAGAAAAATATAAATTATTATCCTTAATTGCATCTGCTTGGTAAAAATACAATTTAATGGTGAAAATTCATCAGTCTACTGTATGAAACTAGCTCAATTATAGCCTTTATTTTAATAGAAAAACAGCAATTACTTCATTTAACAATATATTTAGTTAAATTGTCGTAAAACACCATATAATATATTAAAATTGTAGAATAGTAGGATATCTTAAAAGAAACTGCTTCCTTTGTTGTTTTTCTGATTTAAAATATTATCTTCTGATAAAACTGAAACAAAAGTTTAATGTTTAAAATATTGATATACTTTTAGTTTAAATTTTATGTTTACGTCTAAAAGACGTCTCAGATGTTTGTGTCGTTGGAAAATCGTCATTTAAATTTGTTTGCTCATTTTCTGGGATTCCCTGAAACGTAGTCGTTTCTTCTTCTTCTTCTTCTTCTTCCTCTTCTTCTTCATCGTCATCATCATCATCATCAACTTCTTCCTCCTCTTCTTGTTCTTCCTCGTCATCATCTTCACTTTCGTCTAAAGTAAAATCAAAATCGTCGATTTCATTAGTAACTTCTTCAGCATCGTCCACATAATCATCTAAATCATTCTTTTCTCCAAACCCTTTGCTGCAAATAAATTAAGTAGCATTTGTTTTAATGTTAAGAGTAAAAAGTGGAACTTACGTTTGAACCATTGCAACACCTGTTGTGAATACTTTTTGATAACCCTAGAATGAACGACACCCTGTATACAGTATTCATTAGCAAACAATTAAAAACAAAAGAAATGTTACCTTATTTCCTGCTATTTCTTTCGAGTGGCCTGTTTGTTGTCTTCTTGGGGCTGAAAGAGAAATTTTAAAGGTCTTTTAACCTATAATTTTTATGTGTAGTGTTAAACGAAAGGGACTTTTAAACATTATTTACTACTGGAGCGACTTCTATTCCTACAGGAGGTCATAATTGAAGGAGACTGTGTTTGTTGTTGTCGGTAACATACAGCAGAAGTGTATGGTTTTATACAGGGCGCTCTGCATTTACTTCTACTTCTGCTTCTTCTGTAACAAATTGTTTTTCGTATTTGTCTGATTTTTATTACAGTACGTACCTTGTAGTTGATGAATATGGGGATCTGGAAGAAGTTCGTCTAAAACCGATGTTAGTTTTTTGAAAAGAAATTGCAGTTGGGTTTAATGATTTACGTGGAAAATTGCGATGTACAGGTCGGTTTTGATTGGTTGGTCCTTTTACCTATTTTTGCGGAAGTTGAAGATGTTTTACAGGAAGTGGAGGTGCCAATTTCTACATTATATGATTCACCCCCTGCTTAAGTAGAAATGTTACGGTTTTTAAGTTTTTTTAATTAAAATAATTGTTATGTTCAGTTGTTTTACAAACCTTTGGCTGACTTTAATCTTAAACAAATAAAAATTGATCCTATAAGGAACCATACAAAAATTGTAGCCAGCAAAGCAACAAGAATGATGTTGTTTTTACTATTTTTCTAAAATTAAAAAAAAACAAATGATTGATACCACATTATAACGTTTTGCACATCTATAAATTTTACTTCAGTTCCATAACTACATGAGCCCTTGTGTTTAGATGCGTTTCTCCTTTGTTCAACAGCACCATCACCTTAAAATTGGAAGTTGTTAAAAATATTGCTTTCTTGATTCAAATTTCCCGCTAAATTAATACTATATTACAATTTATGCAACATTAAGTAATTTGTGTAAATGAATATTAGTTTTCATTGTTAGCACTTTTTATTATTTAACGACTTGTTCACTTAATTTAGTTAAAAATTAAAATTTATAATATTTTATTAGCTTGATCTATGGATATGGCGTTTATGGAAATTGTTTCACTTTATAGATAGCAATAGTATGGATTTTAAACAAAGTAACATTGAAGAAAAAGAAGAAGGAGAAGCTTAACCTCACTTTTTAGTATTGTGACATTTAAGGTTAGAGAATACATTTCTTTTAATTTGTTTGTATTTTTGATGCATTTACCAAACTGTTTTATTGTTTCCATAACTCTGTAGATTCCTCCAAATGCAGCATAAGTTTTTGGATCGTGAATGTGCGGCAAAACGTGAGTGTTTAGCCAGTGTTGAAGCCTTTTGTGGAACCTTGTTATGCAGCAAGGCTCGGCTTTTATCGACATGTAACATCTCATCGTTGCTACATAATACTTAACTAGGATATAAGCTGACGAGGATGATTCTAGTTTCCGTAAAGAATACGTTTTAAAAGGAATAGCAATTGCGGATGGCTCTATTGCACTATCCAAAATGGGCATTGGGATTTCATAGCAGGCCTCTTTGTGCCCTAGAAATGATACATACTTTAGGTGAGCATATTTAACTTTTACCTCAGTTTCACCTCTCTCAAGTTTTTGGTATATTAAACCTTCACAAGGGTCCAGTTTGCCATGGGGAGGTTTTAAAGGTAGTCCTACAGCTCCTGTACATTCTTTTGAACAATAATTTATTAAATATAATCTGTGAATTGGATTAATTGTTGATTATTTAACTAACCCACTTGGCTATCAGGATTCTTCCAACCTTCCCCATTGGTTTTTAAAAAAAATTTAATTTCTTTAAAAATATGATTTAGCTTTTGAATACTTTCAAATTTTATGACACCAGCATAGAATGCAGACCGTGCCAAGGGCAATACAAAAGCGTATAAATAACCACCTATGTAAGATAAAACAAGAAAATGATTTACACAAATATTTCTAAAATTACCAAGCGTATCTGCCATTGCCTTCATCATAATTATTCTACTACTTTTACTGCTGCCTTTTGTTTTGTTTTTTACTGTTCTAAGTACCATTTGGAAATACAAAACAAGGTCATCTACAGTTTCATCGTCTTTAAATCCAATAGAACTTTTACTTGGAAGTATTTGTTGAAATATCTTTCGCGAATTTAATAGTACCATTTCTTCTGAAGACCAACATCTTTTTTCTAAATCGCTTTTTGAAAATAAGACCGTGCCAACGTTATTATCGCCTTGTGTGTAAAATAAATTATAGGAGAGAATTATCAGAATTAATGTCACAAGCATGACAAATGAAATATTAAGTTTTGTATAAAAATCGTAGCAAGTAATTGGTACATTTTTTGATAATTTAATTGGCTCTTCTAATTCTGAATACGTTATTTGCAACATATAAATCTGTAAATCACTTTCCTATGGTTATTAAGGAATTAACTACAGTTTTTAAATTGTTTTATTCACTTAATTGCAATAAAATTGCATACACCTATGCTATATCTTATATTTTACATTTTTCTGTACAAATTTAATGTACAACCGAATTCAATGGTTCTGCTTTTATGCTGGACAAATTCAATCGATTATCCAATTCTTCATCTACAAGACCAATGATTGCACTAAAATTAAATATCAAAATTTAATATTTTAAAAATTTCCAATTGTAAATAATTATTACATGTTATCTCCTCGAATTATATGCAGGCCTAGTATAACTTGTTCGACTCCTGTAGTACTAGAATAGACTCGTTCGTGAGATTCGTCTAAAATTATGTTTATTGTCTGATCAAAGCCCTTAAGAGTTCCCTACAAATTATATGAAAGTATTAATTCATTGTACAATATTTTTCGTATTAACTTACGATAAAATTGCGCCCATCAGATGTAATAATTGATACAGTATCTAAATTACAATTAAGGAGTTGATAACAAATTTACGATTAGAAAAATATTTTTAAAACTATGTAAAGGATACGATTTACAAAAGCGTCCAATCCAGCAGCCATTTTTTCGGCTGTAAAGGCTTTTATGTGACGATTAAATGAAGAAATTGGATATTTTAAGTAAAAAGTTTAAAATGTTTAATCGTTTGGTTTGCGCTTTAAGAGTTAGGTTAGTTTCATCGATAAAGGTAGTTTTATTGTCTATGGTTTTTCTAAGGTAGTGTCAAAGTAAAGGCTAGTGGGTGCAGTTAATTAATGAGAATTAATTTTATTTTGGTTATTATTAATACAGGAAATATCTGTTTACTGTTGTTTTATTGACAAGTTTCAATTATTTTTAAGTATTTGAGATTTACTTGCTTTTTGTTTTATTTAAGTATTATTGTGGAGTTATGGCTGAATGGTCTGTAGAGTTCAACGTTAAATCGAGTTGACATTAGGAAGAAGGAAAAGAAGAACTTCGATAGAGTTAGGTTATTTATATGCCTTTTTTTATTTAAGAAAAGTAGTTTTTGATATGTTTATCTATATAAATAAGAAGTTATGAGTAACCCAACTTTAAGACATCTTACGGATCCTAAATTTGGGAAGCCTGCTAAGCATCAAAACAACGTAAGCATTTTGTTTTTCATGCACGTGCGGTACTTAGTACATTTTTTTACAGCTTCTGCAGCAATTGGGGACTCCTCACATTTCTAGTTTTAATTATATGGTAGATAGAGGTCTGGAACAGGCAGTGGCGGATATTATTCCTGTACAGTTTGAATTTACTAATGGTGACAAGATTTGTTTGAAGATCGAAGAAGCGGCTCTTAGCTGTCCCTTAGTTCCTGTTGGTACTATCGGGGTGAAAAAACAAGTGGTGCTTCCTACCGAATGCCGACAAAGAGCAGCTACTTACAAAGGCAAGTTCAATATTAAAGTATCCTGGACAGTCAACAATGGAAAGAAAAGTTATTTTGAAAAAGAGTTGGGTGAAGTTCCTATTATGCTCAAGGTATTGGTTTTTCCTGTAGTAATGTTGGGAAATATTTATGTATTAATAAGGAAATTGTGCTTTTTAGTCAAATAGATGTCACTTAAATTTAATGTCTCCTAAACAATTAGTGAAAAATGGGGAACATGAAGATGAATGGGGTGGATATTTTGTTGTTAAAGGTCATGAAAGACTAGTGAGAATGTTGCTAATGACTCGAAGAAATTATCCACTTACCATAAAGAGATCTTCATGGAAAGAAAGGGGAGAATTATTTTCTGATGTTGGTGTTAGTATCAGATGTGTTAGAGAAGACCAAACAGCACAGGTACTTATCACTTTTATAGTTTTTATATTGCATATTAATATTTTTGGTCTTTCAGAACAATGTTTTGCATTTTTTGACTGATGGTTCTGCCAAATTCATGTTTATCTACTTAAAAAATTTGTATTACATTCCTTTAATGATCATTATGAAGTGTTTGTGTGATTATACAGATAAATTCATTTTTGAAAAATTAACTGAAGGACATGAAGATGATTTATACTACATAGAGTAAGTGTGTCATGTTTTTGTTTGTTAATTAAATACCTAAATTGTAATTTAATATATTTTAGTTGTATACAAAATATGCTTCGGGCGTGCCACTTGGAAAACTTGCATACACAAGAAGACTGCAAGGAGTATGTTGGTAAATTGTTCAGAGTAAGATTCTTGCAATGCCCAACATGGTACACAAATCAACAAATAACCGATTTCATGTTAAAACAGTGCATCTTAATACATTTAGATAATAACACTGACAAGTTTAATCTTTTGGTTTTTATGACGCAAAAACTTTTCGCTTTCGCTCAAGATAAGTGTAAGCATGAAGGGGTCGATTCGGTGATGATGCAAGAAATTTTATTGGGTATGATACTAGAAACAATTATTATTCATTATAAAAAATTAAATCTACTTTTTAAATTCAAGCAAGCATGATTGAAAGAAAATTTATGAACAAAAATAATTATCTGTAACATTTAAAAACATTTTATTAAATTTAAAATATGTTAATGAAGGCTTGAATGTTCCATTTCTAAATCTCTGTCTTTAAAAATTTGAATGTATGTTGTTAAAAGCCATGATTTATATATATAATATTTGTCATGCTTTCCTTGTAGGGGGTCACTTGTATTTACAAATACTTAAAGAAAGACTTCAAGGTTGGCTCAATAATCTTCGACTCGCGCTTCTAAAGCGTCCCAAAACTGACTCGATGCTTCCTCTTTCTTCTAAGGAAGTACTGATAGCTGCCAAACATGCGGGAACTATAGAATCCTCAATGGAGCAGTTTTTTGCTACAGGGAATGTAAAAACTGCAACAGGTCTGGGTCTAATGCAAGATAAAGGCCTAGTTATAATGGCAGAAAACATTAATCGGATGCGTTACATGTCACACTTTAAAGCAGTTCATAGGGGGGCCTTTTTCCAAGAAATGCGCACTACAGAAGTCCGTCAGCTTTTACCGGATGCGTGGGGTTTTATATGTCCGGTGCACACTCCTGACGGAGCTCCCTGCGGTCTCCTCAATCATCTTACGATGAACTGCACAGTAACGGACGCCCCTGATCCAGTTTTAACTAAAAATATCCCTCGTGTTCTAGCCAGGTTGGGAATGGTACCCCTCGAAAATTATCTTCACGAAAATAGGGCGGATTCCTATGTAACTGTGGTAGATGGGAAGGTTGTGGGATATGTGCCAGTGTCAATTGCAAAGGACTTGGTAGATAATTTAAGGCTGCTGAAGATACAGGGCAAGGAGATACCTATTACAACAGAGATTGCTTTGCTTCCCAGGAAAAAGGTTACAGGACAGTATCCTGGATTATTTTTATTCACAGGACCAGCCAGAATGATGAGGCCTCTGGTTAACTTGAGTGCTCGTAATATGGAATTTGTAGGGACTTTAGAACAAATCAATTTGGACATATCTGTCACTCCAGATGAAATATATAAGGGTAAGAAGAAAATGTNCTACCTTTAGGGCTAACAAAATGAGTTTGGAGAGAGTTTAAGTTTGAACTAGTCGCAAATTGGAAACCAAAACTGGTTCCAGTAAGTATTAAAAGTTGGTTTTGTTGGTGTCTTTTTTGTGCGTTAGGGTTTGAGCTTTTTTTTACAAAGAAAAAAAATGAATTAATAAAGATTTTATATATTTTCTTACCTTACTTGTTGTTCTGTTACGTATTCTTCGCCAAAATTATACCTCGGTTTCCTGTTATCAACTTCTTCGGTATTTTCTTTCCTACATTTGACTGCATTTCGGATTTCCGTTTTGAATTCGTCATCTCTCCCAGTTTCCGCCCCATATCGCAGCCGCGGTAGCTTGTCAAAATCTTTAACTTCCTTGTTCTTCTCATACATCTTCCTTTCGTATTCCCTTTTCTCGTACTCCCTCCTTTCAATGTCCTTCTTTTCAAAATCCCTTTTTAATATTTCCCTTTTGCTTTCAAACTCCCTCTTGACCTGATAATCCACGTGATTCTTAGTAGGGTCCCCATTCTTCCCCATGACGTGTTCTTCTTCCAATTCCCTGAAGTTCTTGGCGTATTTGTTGAGCGGATTTTCCATGAATCGTCCTTTGCCCTTTTCCAAGGATCTCGTGTTGTCTGAATATTTATTATCGTGATGTGCATTATTAGAACTGGCGTCTCTAGAATACGAGTTTTGACTAGATGGGTACCGGTCTGATTTGTACCCATCAGGATAGTGGCGGGAGCTTCGGATTTCCGTTTGGGTATGGGGACGAGGCAGGGTTAATTCCGGGGAACCATCGGGCATCAGATACATCGTAGACTCTGCCGTGTCTGCATTCCATTCTTCGTCTAAATGATAAATAAAACAAAAATTGTTACGACGAAATATGTAGAATGCTTGTATTTGGTTTGATCCCTGTCTGTGCCCTTATAACTCATAAATTATTGAATCAATTTTTATGGTTCTTCTACCATCTTCAAGGAAATTAAACAGCGAAAGATTTAGTACATAAAATATTAACTTTTAACCTTTAGTTTATGTTGAAAAATAAATAAACAAAATAGTTCGAATCTACTGCGCTAACCTCGGTTAAAATAACAAGGTGCTTATTTTTGACTAATTTGTTAATATCGTTAAAAATTATTTATAATAATTTATGTATGAGTGACGTAACTTAATTCAAGAACTTGCTTGACCTTCTCCGTTTTTTTTTCCATCTGAATAAAATACCTAATCGGCGAAGTCTATTCTGAAGGCGAAATACAACCGCAACTAACTGAGGTCAAGGAAAACTGCCGTTTTCCAAAGTTGAATAACTGTAAAGGTTAAACTGTTGTAATTCCTATTTGGAATTTATGATAATAAAAACTTTATATCTATAGAAACACACACGCATATATAAATTAATCGTCTTGCCATTTTCATTCTAACACCTTTACGTAAAATTAATTGATTATGCATGTCTGCAGCAATCTTTTACTAGTTAGTTTTGTTTAAATATGTAAAAAACGGTGTGGCAATTTAAAAGAAAAATCGGACAGACAGACACACGAGTGTTACTATAAGGGTTGCGTTTTTTATTCGGACGTATGGAACCCTAAAAACAAATCACTCATGCGTCTGTCTGATTGTCATACTAATTATTTCAGAAACTAATTGACATAGAAATTCGAAATTTTGTAGATAGAACTTTAGGCACATTTATATATAATAACAAAATTGTACAATAATTCCAATTAAAAATATTAAATTTCTTCGCATGATTGCAACTTATTATTTATTGAATGTGTGTAGATTTCTTCGTGTGTAACTACATATACACACGTGTAGTGGTTTAACATAACGGTGTCAACCTTTTAAACACCTAACTGTATCCAATCGATTAACTACACATTTGAAACGAATACTTTGTGGGAAGATAATAAGTCAATGGAAAAAAATCATTTGAAAAACGAACGCTTCAAATTCTTGTTATGTAATGGTGTGACCCCTCGCTGGAATGTGCTTAAATAACATAGTAGATTAATTAAAAGGTAGATTTTTACTAGTCAATTTATAAGCTTGATTTAAACGTTAAAACACATTTTGTTACTACAAGTTTTAGAAGCGCAAAATGTAGCAAAACGAACACGAAAATTAGAAATGTTTTTCGAGTTTATTAAAGTTCAATTAAAATCGTGTGTAAACCATCGAAAACAGGAGATACCAATACCTTAAATATCAAACTTAATTACAAAAGACGCCAAAAAAGCACGCGAAAATTTGTTAGTTCTCTAGATTTCGCAAAATCTGAAATCGCTTTGCAGGACCGTAGCTCACTTATTTATTGTCCGATTTAAAATTAATTCGAACCATCGGGAAGAGCACACCTGAATGCATACAACACTTTGTTGGATGACCCATGCTTATGCTGACAATATGCCAAAAGCGCACGCAAACATTTGTTAGTTTTTTAGATTTCGCAAAATCAGAAGTCGCTTTGCAGGACCGTAGCTCGCTTATTTATTGCCCGATTTAAAATTCATTAGAACCATTGGAAAGAGCACACATGAATGCATACAACACTCTGTTGGATGACCCAAACTTAAGTTTACAATGTGCCAAAAACGCAAGCGAAAATTTGTTAGTTTTCTAGATTTCGCAAAATCAGAAGTGGCTTTGCAAGACCGTAGCTCGCTTATTTATTGTCCGATTTAAAATTCATTGGAACCATTGGAAAGAGCACACATGAATGCATACAACACTTTGTTGGATAACCCATACTTAATCTTACAATATGCCAAAAACGCACGCGAAAATTTGTTAGTTTTCGAGATTTCGTAAAATCAGAGATCATTTTGCAGGACCGTAACTCGCTTATTTAATGTGCAATTTAAATTTCGCATGAACTAATCGAAAGAGGAGACTTCAAAGTATGAAAATCATTATTTGGTGGCCCTGTTCAGTTCAAATGTGAAAGTTAGTTTGGTTTTCAAGTTGCGCAAAAACAGAGGTCATTTTGCTGACCCATTGTCTGCCTGTTTAAAGTCCGATTGAAAGGTTGTTTGGACTATCGGAAAAAGTATATATCAATAACTTTGTTGACAGCTCAAACTGAAATTCAAAATATGTCAAAAACGCACACTTGTTTTTCTAGATTTCGCAAAAACGTAGGCCATTTTGCAGGGCCGTACCTCTTTCATTGAAAGTCCAATTTCAAATTTCTATATCGGATAGTTTTTGAGAAAATCTGCTGTAAAAGACAGACTGACAGTTTCCTTTTTGGATTATTTGTTTAATGGGCCATTTTATAAAAATAATGACGGACCACATACATACAAGCATAACTGCTTTTACTGGTCTAAACCAATTTTGAATTAAAATAATTTCGTACAGAAAATAGCCAAATAATAATTTGCTTCATTCAACAACAACACCAACGAGCAAAATGATTAGTAACTATTGAAAAACGAAGACTGGTAAATAATGATGATAGTTAAAAACGTTATAGCTGAAAGCCTGCAAAGAAAAACACAACATAAAACATCGTACCATTCGTTCGCAACAACTTGGAGCGATTGTAATAATAATTCTTAGAATATTAGATCATCATTATCATCATCGTCGGCAGAGATGCCTTCCATTTTTTTTACAAACTCTCTTACTTCGTCGAAATTATTTATAGAATCGGCCGTGGCATTTTTGGTTATTCAAAGATGCCGACAAAACAGATAATTAGATACATCAAGTAAAATTACCTTAAAGTTAACGAAAACATTTTTTTATGACTAGGCAGACAGATAATTTTCCTTATTTTGGTTTTCATTTAATTAAGTTTACCGTTAGAATGTTTCACTCATATAAAACTAAACAGTCGCTAAACATTAAAAACCAGATGAAAAATGGAAAAGTTTCACTGCTTTTTCAAACCGTAAGTCGTGTACCCTTAAAAGTGTTTTTTTATTTTTCGTTTAACATTTAGCGTTCAGTTTGGTTCATTTCTAATCTTTAATAGTTTTACCAAATCTAATTTCTCGTATAATTAGTCATTAAGCACATAATAATTTATGTACCGAGCTACATATTATTTGTTAAAGACTTATCCTTCTAATTACAAAAACCGCCCAAAAAGTTAGACAACTTTCTTCTACCTCATCTCATTCAGAAAAGAACTAGTTTGAGTAGAGATTAAACAGATCTATACACAATACAATTTTAGTTACATATAAATGGCATTACAATTTATAATTTCGTTTTGTATTGCAATTTTTATTTAAAATTCAACTCTCACTAGACCGACTGTTGTTATTCAAGCTTCTATTCGACTTGCAAGTGGTTTTTTTAATTCAAAAACATTCACCTTCGGCAATATGGGTGCGTAGTCTCTCTCTAATATTTAACCATAAAAAAGGAGTGTTGTTTTGTACACTACAGATTGCTACTAACACTTTAGCTGACCAATTGGATTAAGACGGGCCCCCAGAAATCAATCATAGGAATTTCGAACGATATTATCTAATTTTATAGATACCAAATCAAAATATCATTACCTTTTCATGTGTCTTAGAGGAATATCTTATTTGAACGTTTAAATGCTTGTAAAAAATATTTGAAACGCGTTTTTGTTTACTGATTTTGGTCTCTAAAATATAATAGCTGAAATTTGATAGTACGAAAGAGAAAAATTAGTCGTTGAATAACTGCCTTGGTCTTGATGTTAAACCTACTGGAACTACCATTTATACGACCAAAATTATAATGTACTATGTATGATTTTATTGCCCCATTGTATGCGTCAGATTAGAACAAATTATCCTTTCGCAAAATTCTTTATCAAAGGTTTTGCTTAATTGTGTAACGGGTTCTTCGCGGTTTTGTTATTTAAATAAATGCCACAAAAGGCACTTGACCTTTCTAAACAATACCTCTATGCCATTCGTAGCCAGTCACGTATTAAAAGTGTTTGTTTTGCAACATTATAACCGAAAGTTAAAATACATAACATTAATCTTTCTTATGTTCTTAGGTACCTTTTCAAACTTCGAGTTAAATAAAAGTGAATTTAACAATATTACTGTAATGTTTTTAATGTTTTATTACTTTTTTCGCAAGCACGCACATTAATAGAGTCATAAAATGATTAACTTTTTCCGAAATATTCAAATTAACTTGCAAATATAGTGAACTAACTTACACACTTAAAGGGCTTCTGACGTGTGTTAAATGTTATGAAAGTAACGCCCACTGATGAATCCAAACAAAACGCACAACTTTTGTGACGTCACTTATGGGAAAAACGTATGTACTCAATAGAAATGTAGATCGACCCCATATTGAAATCACTCAAAATATAGATTGTTCACAAATATACAATTTAAGTAATAAATCAATTAGCAAGTACGTAATACATCACAAATTTAAAAATAATTAATCAATTAATAACTTTTTGATGGGTAACTGTAAAATTAAATGTAAATTGTTAGATTTATAAAATACGATACTTGAAGGATTGTATCTTAAAGGATTGTAGCTAACTCTAACGGGTGCACAAATAGGACAAAAGACACTTGACCTTTTAAAAGAAACACAAAATTTTAATTTTACTTTATTCCAGCCCATTTACGCAAGAATATTTGCATTTTGCAACCGCGAGTTGAGATGTAATGCTTTAATCTATCATANTTATATAAAAACTGGAGTTCTAAAAAAATGGACATGAAAATACGTTGGTAATTTAGATCTTTAAATTATGCAAGCAAGATCAATCTTGTTATTTTATTAAAATAATTACAAATGGATTTATTGTCCTTTTTCTTATGTTGCAGGTGTTACAACACATATGGAGCCCTCCAAGTCTTCGTTTCTGTCCAATTTAGCCCAATTAATTCCCATGCCTGATACTAACCAGTCTCCGCGGAACATGTATCAATGTCAGATGGGGAAACAAACAATGGGAACTCCCTGTCACACGTGGAGTACCCAGGCTGAGACGAAAATCTATCGTTTGCAAACACCAGCAAGTCCTCTTTTCCGACCTGTTCATTACGACAATATAAAGTTGGATGATTTTCCAATGGGAACCAACGCCGTTGTGGCCGTTATTAGTTACACAGTAAGTTAGCAGTATCTTGTGCTTATAATTATTTGGGGCTGCATTATTCTTTTTTTTTTTTAACGATTTCCAACAAGTAAGAGTATTTAAATTAAATAATTATTAATTCTTTTGATAATATTAATTAATTGCGTCCCAATTGTTTTCAGGGTTACGATATGGAGGACGCGATGATAATTAACAGATCTGCATACGAAAGAGGTTTCGCTTACGGTTCAATTTACAAGGCGCAATTTATCGAATTGGACCACGTAGATTCTTATTTTTGTCGCGATCCTTCTCTGTCCTTTTTAGTTGATTATCTGGATACTGATGGTCTTCCTCATCCCGGAGTACCTATGTCCGAATCGAAACCAATGTATTGTTATTATAGCGCCGAGTCCTGCAGATACGTTGTGCAAAACTTTAAAGGGAAAGAGGATTGCTTTGTCGACAATGTGAGAGTTTGTGGGAACTTTAACAATACCAGGGCCAAGAAAATTGCATGTATTGTGTTCAGGGTGCCGGTGAGTCAATTATTTTCATTGCGGTTTTTCAAATAAAAGTTTAAAAAATGTTAAATGCAGGGTTACAAAAATACCAATATACTATAAATATTTTTTATTAATCGTATCTTTTCACTATGCTTATTGCTTAATGGCCTTTTTTACATTAGCAATTACAAAAGTAATTATTAATTTACATTATAAAACCTTGATTAAATGTTATTTGGTGGAATCTATTTTAATTACATTTTGTATTTGTTTCAGAGAAATCCAACGGTTGGTGATAAATTTGCCAGTCGTGCGGGCCAGAAAGGTATTTGTTCGCAACTGTGGCCTGCTGAGGACCTACCCTTTACCGAAACAGGTATGTTTTACGTTAATTATTATATGTAAAAGAAATTATGAGTGCTATCAGCACAGGGCAAAGTAGTTAGTATCTGCAATTTCTTATGCAAAGTGTACGATGTGTTGCATACCTATTTACAAACAATTCCCTTAAATTTAATTTTTTAAACAATTTTTACCACAAAGAAAGCGGTTAAACAAATTGTGTTCACAAAAATGAATTTCGATCACTTGAAGTAATGGTGCTAACAGTTTTGAACTCATAGTGACTGATAGGGGGGAAGAACTATTTAAATATAATAGAAAATGAATAAACTGTTTTTTATTCTTGTTATTGCAACTGTAACTGATCGTGGTATTATTTCTGNAATTTCAATAATCAATCGAATATAGTGGGAAGATGTGGGAGGAAGCAATAAAAGGGGTAGTAAAATATGAGGAGAGATTAGAGAGGCTAGACGAAGAAGATACAAGATAGGAAGTATGGAAGAGAAAGGTAATGGAAATTAGGGCACAAATTAGATATAACAGAGAAAGGGAAGGATCATTGGAAATTTTAAGCTTCAAACAAGAGCAGGTTCGAGAGTAGTTTAAGCAAGGGACAAAAGTAGGGACATGGGATTTGGTGAGGAATAGATCCAAAGATATGATTAGAGGAGATTTAGGAAAAATAGAATGGTCTAGGTATGTGCTGGGTATGAAAGAGATAATATGGAGGGACTGGCAGGGTGACTGGGTACCAAGGTATTCGTAAAGGGCGAAGGAAAAAAGTGTAATGGCAAGATTAAGGACGAAGAATGAATTTAGAGGATAACTTTTGGAAAAGGAAGCGGAAGGAAATGTGGTAGGAGGATGTGAGAATGGTGGAACATGGGGAAAATCCTGTGAGTTGGTGAATGAAGATGACGTTAGGTTGAGAGGTCTGAAGAAAATTTTAAGGAACATGAGATAATATTAGAGGATGAGGAAGGGACTTAGATAAAAAAATGAACGAAGTAAAAGACACTTGACCTTTTAAAAGAAACACAAAATTTTAATTTTACTTTATTCCAGCCCATTTACGCAAGAATATTTGCATTTTGCAACCGCGAGTTGAGATGTAATGCTTTAATCTATCATATGTATCAACAACTTTAAAGTAGAAGTGAATTATGAAGAGTTTACATGTACATATATATGGGCAACGTATGTGAATGTGTAATGGATTTTACCATGTTACTGTTCATTGTTTACTCTTGTGTGAGAATACAATATAATGGAGTATTTTTATCTCTGGCACGTAAAACAAGGCACGAAAGCAAGGTTGCGTTCCGTTTCTTGAACTTACTTAACTAACAATTATGTTATCTTATACCACCTAGATTCCATCGGGCTGGATTTTTTATGAAAGCGTGTGTGAGATGGTAATTACGACGTGCATAGGTACCATTATATCTTACACTCAAACGGCTAATAATTAATCTAAAGTAAGTAGTTACACACACGTTAATGTGTTCACAAAAAATCTTGGCAACAGCAAGAAATTTTAAAAATTCGACCGTAATTTTAAAAATGTTGTACCATTACCACAGGGCGTGCTTATTAACACCTAAATTTCTAGTTAACTAAAAGTAGATTATACCATATTTCTGTAATGTTGTTCGTTGTTTATAACTTTCTTCGCAAACACAAGTATTAATAAAGTAATAAAATGATTAATTTTTTCCAAAATATTCAAATTATTAACCAAATATTAGTTTTTACATTAAACTAACTTATATTTTTCTAAAAAAATTGTTATTTACGGTGTTTTTACGTAACTTTTGTCAAAACTCGATCCACGTATACGAACCAAAATCGAATGATTCAAACAGTTAACAAAATGATTATTTATTCTCTTTTTACATATTTTTCGGTTAAGGTCAGCCCATGTATAAGAACGAAAATCGAATTTTTGTAGAAATTTTTTGTTTTTTTTTAGGTCAAAATCGGGGACCTATAAACTTTTTTTTAATAGAATAAGGCTCGTTAAGGTGCGTAAGCATTTGTTTTATGTTTATAATTGTTGTGTGTATTTAGTAACATTTCTTAAAATTTATACTTACTTTTCTCATTGGTTTCTTCTCTTCCTGCCTTGCAAATATTTCACTGTTTCACTTTTTTTTATTGTAAAGGAACATTTGTTTTATTTTCGTTTTGCATTTATTATTATTACCTAATTATTTATTTATTAAACAAAATACGTTCGAAAAATCAATATATTGATTGTTTAACGGATTATAAAACACAAAAACAAGGTGTACAATAAAATTAGGTAATCTTTGCGATTATCCCTTGTATTTTAGTTATCGAATTGTAGAGCGTCCCTCGTATTTCTCGTAACCGGAGCGACATCTCGCGACCGGTAGTCAAATATTATTATATCCAAATTACAGGTTTCAATCATATTACAGATGTTTTCCGAACAGCTACTAAAGTTTAAGCGGTAATAATAATAACACTAAATTTAAAAATCTTCCGTCGATTTAAATTCCTATAAATGCATGGACCTTGACCGAAAAATACCTAAAAAACACCCCTAAACGAATCGAGTTGAAAATTTTTGCTTAATTGCTCGAAAAATTTTCAACTCGATTCGTTCGATTTTGGTTCATATACGTGGATCGAGTTTTACCAAAAAGTACGTAAAAACACCATAAATAACCATTTTTTTAAAAAAATAAAGTATGCCACAGGTAGTTCTTATCAATTATTAATTAATTAGCCATATCAGATTTCATTTACTGGCGAATTAAGCAAAACTTTTGCACTAATGTTCTATTTCGGTTCCCAAAAAAAACCCATGTATAGCTACCTGTCGATTGTTTTTGGGAACCGAAATAGAACACTAGTACAAAAGTTTTGCTTAATTCACCAGTAAATGACAACTGATATGGATAATTAATTAATAACTAATAAGGACTAACTGTGGCATACTTTATTTTTGCAAAAAATGGTTATTTATGGCGTTTTTACGCGTTTTTCAGCTAAAGTCGCACCATGTATATGAACTAAAATCGAACGATTGGAGCAATTAAGCAAAAATTTTCAATTCGATTCGTTTAGGAAAAATACGTAAAAAATAAGCAACAGGGTGCTAATTTATTTTATTTGTTACATATAATTCAAAAATTTGTTTGTGATTTCGTCAATAGATGGCTTTAATTGAAAGACAGAAAATTACAATTTTTTGAAATTATCATTTTTACAGGTAATTTTATTTTTTAAGCTTTATTGACTGTCTGTTAGAGGGCGCTCTTGTCTAAATTTTGAATCAATTCTCTCCAAAATTTAAATTTGAATATGCAGTTGTTGTTTTATAAATTATTATTACAAATGAATACACAATATTACTGGCTAATTTGTCAA